AGAGAAATCACATATCTTGTAATCGCGACATTGCTTCGTTGAGAATTTTGCTTGAGAGAGAACTATTTATAAATAATTACGGAATTCAATTTAACCGTAAATTGATATGACAAATTTGTCAGAATGCATGAAACTAAAAAGCATGAGAGAATTATTAAAATAATTTATAATAGAATTATAATAAAATATCTAATATGTACATTGAATAAAACAGTATTGATTTAATAACCAGTGCGATATAATTACTAATTAAATCTTTTAGTTCTTATACAAAATTAAAATTAAACTTTAAACCATGTAATTTACAACTTATAGATTGCTATTTTGTAATTTTTTTCCACAATTCATTAGTAATTAATTTAATAATCAATAAATTTATTCGATTTAACGAATAAGATTTACAGCTGATAAATATTTGATGTTCACAAAACACATTGGGGCGACTAAATATGAGAAACGTGGAAGTTTGTCAAAACTCTCTCAAACAGGATCATCGTGATAGTCACTTCCTCACAAAGTAACGTCGCAGTCACAAAGCGGGCTCTTTATAATACATATCCTTCGACGCGTCGGTCACACATACTTACACACATATGCGCGATCTCGCATGCATGCGTAATTATTGCATCGTCCTCATGTCGATTTTTACAATTAAGCAGTCATTCTCACGCTCACACGAAACACGGAAATTATAATGTAACGATGATATGAGAAATGTTAAATGAGACGTAAGAAAAAGAAAAAAGATCAATCAAAATAAAGTTATAAAGAATTATTCGGATAGGAGAGAGAACAAGTAAAATTATGTTATAACAAGTGAATTAATTCTTTTTTAATTTTTAAAAGAAAGAAATTTCTCTCTAGCACAAATTATATCGATGAACTTTTTACTAAACTATCTTAAAGTGCATTTATGATATGATAAAATATGACAGGAATGACGGAACATCTTGCCATATTTATGAGATCTATACCGAGCTAGGTATTATATTATCATTTCGAACCGCCGAAATCGTGATTTCTCGACATGCGCATGTATCTAATGCGCAATATGTTACGGAGAGTAATTAGGCCGTGTGCAGTCTCCGTGACTTTGGAGTCGGGTATTTGATTATCTGATTCAGCTGGACCGTATGAGATGGCCGCGAATAGATACACGCGCAGTGTTCAGCGTAGATTAATAATGATTACGCGTGCATATGCGCTACATATGATTAGCATATTTATTAAAAAAAAAATATATATATATATTGCAAGAGAAATTACTTTTGGCAAGACATCTGCATATACAGAGCTCGATTTTGCAAGAAATTGAAAGAAAAATTAAATTAAAAAGTGCAAGAGAAAATATTAAAGAAACAATATACGTTTTTCGTGCATGTAATATAAAACATATAATAAAATCTTTAATTAAAGATATAATAAATTAAATGTGTAATATAAGAATTCTGTATATATAAGTTCATAAGAAAATCTCTTGTAATAAAATAGAGCTTGTTTGCAAATATGTTTTGCGAATTGACATACACATCGTTCTGCGAAATGTCCGTGCTTCGCGGAGGAAAGTTGCATCCGTTGAACGCAGCAGTATTAAAGCTACTCGCCCTCTTAGCGAACAGTGCGTCAAAAGTACCTTGCCAGTGAGTAGTAATTGAGCGTAATGGTTCTTATCGGCTGATTTCGTGCGTCTATAATCGGCGTTCTACGATCGCCGGGGGCGTTTCTTTTTTGCGCAAGTATTTACATTCCGATGCAGCAAGCGCCTTCGAGCAAACGCCGTCGAGTTTGCGAGAGTTATTCTACTCGGGCGTATTTTCGAGACACCTCATGTCGATCAAGGTCGAATATAGAGAATTCTGAGAATAACAATCGTGCAATATCCGAGTAAAGATTTAATTCAAATCCAGCATGATTTCGAATGCACAGCATGTTTCATTAATTATTAATTAAAATATGTGAACACAATTATAAATGTGCGGAATTAATTAATATATGACATTTTATGGAATATAATTAATGAAAACACGCTATATATTAAATATATCGAATTAATATAGGCATTAAATTAACGAAGGCATAATTTAAGACAATAAAGTATGTAATTTGCATTTCTATCAAACTAATTGAATCGAGTCCCCATTAAATTTTTCTATACGTGCATTATAATTGAGCATGAATCTTAATTAGATTTATATTCGCAATGTAATAATTAATGGTAAAAATTCGAAACGTCCGTGCATTCGTTTGATGCGTCATATTTTCGCTTTGCGGATTGAAAGAAGACTTCTCAATCTTGATCCTTCAACCTTGATCCACTTCTTGTGAGATTTTTGCATTTGGTCCATGTCTTCGAGATTGATCGAGATTGAGAGATTAATCTCATCTTCTCGATCGATTTTTCCCGAAGAGTCCATCTCGTCGCCGCTGAAACGATTAGCCTCGCCGCTTTTTAACTAGTCAACATATATTCTTGCTACGTGCGTGTATGTATAACGTGACATTAACATCTGCTGTCTCTTTGAGCGATGTACCCGCGGTTCCTAAATTTTATACATTATTGCTTTTCCACGTCGCGCACGCACAATCTGCTCTGCGCTCTTTTTCCTCTCTGTTTGTTTAATACAATAGTTTTCATTAAATTGCTATTATTCAATAAAATATATTTTTTTGTTTTGTTAAAGAATGATTATCAGTCAAAATTAATAAATATATCGGAAAAAAAATAAATCAGTATCATTAAAGTATTATACGTCTGAGTGCACATTTCTGATACATCTAAAATATGAGAATATCAATTTTTATTTGTTTTATGTGTATTGCAAATTTGCAAATAGCACTGACGTAAAATTTTCAGTGTTATGCTTATAAATTATGTACATCAGCTTTTAATTAATTTTGCATCTTAAAGTAGAAAACACAGTTAATCAGAATACAAAAGAATAAAATACCAATATCCACGTTTATGTAATTATTTTGTCATTTGCTAATATCACTTACATTATAGTTTTTAATATAACGATAATTTTAGGGAAGCGAGCGCAGAAAATAATTGGCTTGCACAAACGCACTCTCGCATTTTGCACGCAGGACTCCCACAAAAAAGACGCAACTCACATTCGCGCCTAAGATCGACGAATGCCACCTAATTGAATTACCGTATTATAACTTGTCGTCTTATTCGTACTTGTCGTCCATGTACAAACAATATGACAGCCAGAACGCGCTGGCTGTCCGCCTTTATCTCTCGCGTTACCTATATTTATATTTATATATATATATATGCACTTATACATAACGTGTATTTATAGAGTATATCGTACGCATAGAAGGGCTCTATTTATTTGCCGTATTGTTCCTGCCGCTACATTGTCTAGCAAGTTTCCATTAGTTAACTCCGGAGGGTCACATAGATTCGCCTGAAGCTTCAGCAAGAAAAGTAAAAGAAATTATACAATTATTTTTAAAACGATATTTTTATATAATTAATATAAAGGAGAAAATAAGATTTAAAATATGATCGACAATATGTATTTTTACTTTTACCATTTTTCCATAATTTGTTGAGCGTTTAGTTATAAAAAAGAAATAAATTATTATATTTTATATGACGTAATTATGTGGTAATTTTTTTAGCATAATTAAAAAACGAAAATAATTTTCCAAATCTTAATTAAAATTTGATCATTAAATTCAGCTACTTTGTTTCTCTGATTTACATCTATAATAAATATATCTTGATGCGTTTGGAATTAAACACATTAAATGCTTTTGTCAATCAAAATAAATTAATGATAAAAGAATCATTGAAATTTTATATCAAATTCAGATTAATTTTGAGATTCTTGAAGAGCACTAAATTCATTATATTCTAGTACCGTCTGAAAAACAGCGTGATAGTAGTCGTGACGAGACCGTCGCAGGAAGAGATAATTATAGGAATCTTGGGGATTATTAATCGCCGGTATCGAGATTATGATCGAGTCAGCGGAAGGACTTCTCCAGCCTGCTGAATAATTCCAGTTCGTGAATTTCTGAGTAATTTGTAAATGTCAAGCATTTGCCTACCGTTTACAAGTTTTCCGCTTCGTATCCTCCTCTCGTCTTCTATGTTGACAAATCGACCGTTTATACATATATAGTGCCATAGTCACGAACTATTGACATTGCGCGTCATAATTACAGAGACGCGATGCGAAGCGATGTGAGGCGTCGTTTCGCATTTATATTTGTCGCTCTTATCGGCGTCATCGGCTGATAAAATAATCAATGACACGAATACGACAGATAAAAGAGCGAAGGGAATAAAAGTATACCTACATTATGAATAATTCATATTGGTCGATGTTTAACGAATAAATTATCTTTTTTTTTGTTATTAGTAAGAAAAAAATTATGTCTATTTTTCAATGATATGTGGTTGCTTTTATTTTAAATTAATTAATAGGTCATATATTAGATTTGTGTCAAATTTCATTTTTAAAAGTATAAGTAAAATATAGAATATGTTCGAAAATATATGTAACAATAGTAAGGCGATATCAATTATCGAGTTTTGAGGCCATATTTTATTAGCAAAAATCTGATTGGACGATTCGCCTTTTAAATTTTCCGAGACATCTATATTTCTCCAATGATATTTAAATATATAAATACGAGACTCAACTAATACAGATAATAAAAAAAAAATTGAGAGATTATTTTTTTATAAGATCGATTTAATCCTCGGGATCCCATCTGACGGATTCTCATTACTTTGTTCAAATGGCGAAAGTCGCAAGGATAACGAAAGTCCTCATAATAATCGTTTCATTCGTTGCATTTCCATCGACTCTTCGTATAATCCGTATCTACTTTCGGAGATTTATTCTTTTCATTTATTGATTACAATTCTTTTTGGTAATAAAAATAGAAAGATAAATAATTAATAGGTTATAGAAATTTAATAAATTATAGAAAAATTATAAATATATTAATAAGTTATAGAAAACAGAAATCAAAATACATTGCATATCGACGCGAAGAAACTTGGAAACGCGCGGGCCACGATCGATTTTTTCGTTCGATCGTATTTTTAGCCTACCTCTATTACACACTTTTTTTTTTATACTTACGTTGCTATCAACAATCTACATTTATCTACACACTCGAGTTTTTCGCGACGCACCGCAGATGCACGTATGGTTTCGGGTTTAGGTTTCAACTTTAACAAACACCTAATGGTCCAGTACGGGAGGAGATTTGCGTTGCTTGGCCATTAATTATACAATAGATCAGTGCTTAGCCATTTATACAGACTGCATCTCTCGCGCTACGATCGATTTATTATACACGCGTCATATCCTAGTTTTGACGATCCCGAATCGCGCTCACCGTTCTCTATCTCGATTTCTCTCTCGGACGTTCCTCGCGCAAGGCTAATTTCAAGACTACAATTTTTTTCATTAATTTTACTTATCGATTTTTTTTATATTTTTGTCTTTTTTCGATTAAGTAATTGTCGAGATTGTTACCTGATCGATTGCATCAAAAGTACAATGCTGATTTTGTGCGAAATGTTTGGTTTTCGTTTACGTTAACATTGCGACGTATTATCAACAATTATATAATCGCGAAAATTTTTAACATTTAAAAATAAATACTTCGAGTATATATATGTAATATCCTTCAACAATTTGCAACAAAGTATTCGTAGCTATCCGCGAACTCTGCGTTAATTGTCTCCCTCGACATGATTCTAACAAATTTAATTTTTCTGCCAATCGAGATTAGGCATCGAGAGAAAAACTTTTATTCTACACATACATTTTATATAGAATATATATCATTTATATATTTATATTAGCTAACTTTTTATGGGTTAAAACGTAAATAATTTCAATTATTTAGTTTTCCAATGTTTTCCAATGCTTGCATATCTCATCAATTGTTCTCTACTAATCATTCGCTTGCAAATCACCGTGTAACCAAACATCATCAGCACCGCACGCGATTGTTAATGCTTGTGATGCAACTCTTGTGTTGAAGTTATGTCGGTTGCATGTCGATCGCGCGACAATCTCGTCACAAGACACTTCTGACGGCGAATTACATACCGAACGCGTAAAATGAAAACACGGTTGGTTGATGATTTCCATTTGATTTTGCGCATTCGACAAATGTATTCCGTGTCAATCTTGTTCTCGTATCAAATTCGACCTCAAAGCGACCTCAATCGTCGAGAGTATCATCGATCATTCGTCGCTAACCCTTCGAATATCGAGCAGCGTAACAGCACTACTTTTTATACAAATTATTATCCACTATAATATCTTTATCCAGACGGAGTAAGCATTCGCGTATTAAATGTTTTCAAAATATTGGAACTCGCAATGAATATATTGTTGAAGTATCAGTGTGAATTATTCATTTTCTCTAATATGCATTTTAAAATGAAATAAAATTCTCAAATCGCAATTATATTAGCAGCTTCAGTGCAATTTTAAACATGTGCAGAGAGCGTGTTTTTTTTTTAAATATCCTAATATTCTTTATATAATTATACAGCAAAAACTGTATAAATAAGATAAAATAAGGAGAAACAAATAGATGAGAATATGCTAAAATTAGGAACATTTTTCTTTGTAAATTTAGCATTTTGTATCTTCTAAGAAAAATAACTTTTTATACAATTATTGTACGTTCCAGTATTGAATTCGGAATTACTCGAATCGCGACTGTTAAAGGGTTAAGAACGAGGTTCGATGAGGCTGCATATCGAGGTAGGAATAAAAATATTATTAAACATTCATATACATTTAATAATATTTTGAACGGCGCGATGAGCAATTCGTGATCGGCAAGAAACATGCAGGGATCATCGTGCAGATCTGTCGATCAATCCTTACATAGATCAGCACGATGATCAAGAAGGTGAAAAATCCTTCTCTTCGTTGTTTTGTGGCCTTCAAGGCCACAAGTCCTCCTTCCTCCGGATAGACTCCGCTGTCGGAATCACAGTAATCGCGTGCGCGCGACACGTGGCGATCCTTCGCGAGGGAGACGTTCGATATAGACTTCTTACGGTGTCTCGGTGTCCCTGTCACGAATCGAAAAGACACGTCGAACCGAAAAGGCCGACTACCAGTAGAATGACGAGAAGGACTAATGATGACCTGAAGACAGCCGCCTCGTTACTGTATGGCATTTTTACCTCGACCTCGGCCATCTTGAAGATCGAGAGTAGCGGATGCGAATGCACTTCGTGATGCTTGTTGTTGATCTTGTCGCTGAGATCTTGCATCATTGACGCGCACTCTTCCTGCAAATCGAGTATCTCGATCAATACGTTTATAAAAAGGTATCTAGTTCAAAGCAATATTAATTTAAAGCGGATTCTATTTTAATACATTTCGAAAACATTTGGTATTTATTTAATATTTAATCGAGAATATTTTTTTATATATTTATTATGATAATCATATCCTTGCTTGATACCTAATGTTCCAATATGGTTATAAATTCGCAGACTGCTCTCGTTCAAATTCACATATAATATGTTCTGCTCTGAGTTTTTATTTATTTTCGATATTCTTCATATAATTTTATACATCAAAAACGATTTACGATACACAAATATTTCAAATAGAAGAAGAAATACCAATTGTTTTCGAATCAAGGCACATACTACAAATAAAAATCAATTCTTTCAGAAATTTTGTCTATAATCAATGTTGTCATTTTGACAACAAGATATTGTGATTAATAAAACTGGTACATAGGAATGGATTAATCAGAATCGATAAAATGTATATTTAAAAAAGTTATCTTGATTAGAAAGGATTTGCAAATAAAAAAAGCGAAAGGAAT